AAAGCCCTAACAGCCAAGCCTTTCTTTCTCCCGTCATCTTCGATGATTTCAATGCCACTGTAGGTTCAAAAAGAATGTCTGAAAGCTCTCGGTACAGACTCATGATACAGAGCAGGCTCCCTCAGAACTCTTGAGCCGATATACTATGCTGCGTGTAGGATGGTAACTGCTTGCGCTACGGCAGTTACCATACTACACGCACAATCTCTGAAAACTGAGAAGAAAAGCAATAAAGAATGATCTGACAGACAGAAGAATGGCAGCTGTGGTGAACCGAGGCTAGAGGCCGAAGCACCCAATGTGCCCGCCCATTGCTCGTTGGAACTTTGCCAACTACAAAACCAGAATGAGTTTTGCCCACAAATCACCAACCTTGTCAGAATGAGACGTCTTCAACATACTGGCAGATTAGGCAATGCATCCTGAACTGCCTACCGCTTCTGCTCTGATCCATGCCCATCTGCTTATCCAAGGTCTAGAGTTAGATTATTGTCGTTTTTTCGATTTAGCCTTTTAGATCTGCTCGATGTTCTGTTTTATTGGTGAAGAATATTTAGAAGTTTGAGACTGACAAACTAGTACAGCTATGTATGGTCACGGGCAAATCATGGTCACACCCATGAACCAACACCTGTGGAAGTGTAAGGTGCCATTTCTGTAGAGAATTAACACCTAGACGAGCCTGTTATCAGAAAGCTCAAACGGATCAGGCGTGTATCGATCCAGGATTCGGTACTCGGATCGTGAGTGTGTGGTAGTGGATGCGCTACTTGCCACTACACCACTTCCACCCCTCCCCAAATGACAGAAGATATTGGCAATTATTGTTGAGCTTGTCTGCTGTCTATGACATACAAGCTCAACCCATGAACCCTCAAGAGTATTGACAAAACGAAGGACAAATGAAGGGTTACATCTTTGCTCATTTTTACTCTTGGAAGAGCGACTGCATCGTCGAGAAATCAACATCACGATGCACCGCTCAGTAGGGCCTAAGAAAAAGGAAGCAAGCGACATGGGAACATTTAGAAACATCCAGGAAGTAGGAAAGAAGACAAAGGGAATCCGTCTCCGTCTCGTCTTTTCAATTCTGCTCCCCTTCCTGCCTCGGTTTATGCCTCAGTGGATTGGACTCTGCGCCTACACGATGAGCAAGTGGCGTCAACGTCATTCAGTGTCATCTGAAAAGGGCATGCTTGACGTTTCCCTATACATAAAACTGCAAAAAGGATCCAGAGGGCTGAGTTCAGTTCAGGTACCAAGACTAGGGAAGCCACCAGACCTACGGAGGAATCAAAGATCAGATAGGCCGAACAGTCATGCGATCGAGGGGTCCCCTCTGAACCAAGGCGAATACTTCGAGGGTCACGACGACAACCACCGCTGAAATGTGAGACTTCTTAACGATAGCTCTGACCAAAAGGAATGATTCGAGAGTTCCATGATATTTCAAAGCAATCGTGCTCAACTACGAAGAGGATAACTACTATCAAGTTCCATTGAAGAACTATTCTCGAGTTTCCTAAGAATATCAAGAATTATCGGAGTCAAGCCAGAAGGAAAGAGAAACGAAAGATCATTTGAAAGAATGAAGTGAAAGAAATGAAAATGGAAACTGTCGAAGCATCAATTGTACAGATTAGTAGCCGGACCGCAATCGTGATAGATGGGGGGTGTTGAGACGTGAGGAAAGATAAGAGCTGAATGGCGTCGACGACTCCCGAAGAACGCTACTGATCAAGTCGATTGTTGGTGACACAAAAATTTGAAATAACGATAAAACAATGAAATAGAATAAAGGCAGTGATGTCTTGAGTGTACTTCT